CCCCCCCAGGCCCTGCTCTTACCCAGGATGATGGAGTTGATCTTGCCCTTGACCTGTATGGTGCAGCCCTCGCAGCGGTACACGTACACCGACTGTCTCAGCTCCGTCTGGTCCAACACGATCTCCCGGTTGTTCTTGTGGTACTCCTGATGGGGAAACACAATACGGACAAATTGTAACATCGGTGGTGGTTTCTTCAACACTTTGCTGCCTCAAGGCTCATATAGTAAAAACTTTTGTCATCAAAAGGCAAAGATATTTGGGTGGAAATCCAAAGAAACAGGGCTGTAGACATCGCTGATCGGCGAGATGAGGCGACACAGCGTTAGGGGGGGGGGGGGAGAGACAGGTTGTAGGCAGTAGTGAAACAGGTACACTGCAGCCTCTCTATAACGACCTTCGATATAACGACATCCTCTGTTTTCATTCGAATGAGATTTCAGTTCCTTATAAATAAAAACAGTTCACAACCAGTCATCAGAACTCAGGTATCGTGATGTTTGCGCTCAGCTCATTACTATAAATAGTTGTGGTTAAAATTATGTTTATTTTCTTTACTCTCCAAATTTCGAATTCTATCATCTTTAGACAAAGTATCCTGTCTGTAGTTTGACACTTGAAAATAGTTTACTTCTTTTTGAAGTAAAAGGTTGAACTAGTGGCCTGTTAGTGTAGTGGTTGATTTTTTTTTTTTTTTTGAGAAAGAAATTGTTCATGGTGCCCAGGCCCCAATTTTCCCTTTTATATATCATTAGTAATCTTTTTGGTTGCCTCTCTATAACGATAACTCTCATTAACGGCATTTTATTCTGGTCCCGACGATGTTCTTATGGAGGGGCTGCACGGTATGGTGTTTGCCCATTGACCCAGGGGTCCAGGGTTCAATCCCCACCTGCATCTTTCTTTTTTCCTCATGTTTATTTTTTAAACCCCCTGATCAAAGGTAGATAGATAGGAGGATCGAGCAGTCAGTTAGTCATTTCAGATAAAAACAAAATGGTTTGGAGGTCCCTTGTGGAATTTTTCCATGTTAAAGATCCTTTCGTTATTCTGAAAACAAAATTTGGACCGCCATACAGGCAAAATGCAAAACTAATTGGAATCCCTTTCCTATCAACAACAACTCCATATTGTAAACATTACCTTCCCAAGTCTTGCACTAACCACCACCCACCCCATACCATACTGTAATTTACTGTAAACAATCTGTTCTTAAGCCTTCCACCCCACCCCATACTGTAACATTCCCTTCAATGTCTGTTTTTTTCCTCATGTTTTTTTTTTCACCCGCTGATCCAAAGGTACATAGGAGAATTGAGCACTTACCACCACCCACCCAATACCAAACTGTAATTTACTGTAAACATTCCCCACCCCAGCCCTTCACTTACCATCACCCAACCATCCCATACTGCAATTTACTGTAAACACCCCCTCCCTAGCTCTCCACCCCATACAGTGAACATCTCCCTCTTCCCCCCAACCACCCCATACCACACTGTAATTTACTATTAACCTCCCCAACCACCCCATACCATAA